ATATTAGAACCGAAACTCGACCCCCTACAATTTGCATACAGGACTGGAAGAGGTGTTGAAGATGCAAAACTATTTATGTTAAATGAGATTTATAAGCATCTTGAGTTTCCAGGCTCACATGCCAGACTTCTGTTTGCCGACTTTGCGTCTGCTTTTAATACCATGCAGCCAAAAGTTCTTGTAGAGAAACTGGAAACAAAATTTAAATTACAAAATGATTTAATTATGTTTATTTATGATTTTTTAACAAACAGACGTCAACGGGTTTTAGTTAACAACAAATATTCTGAATGGTATGTCACAAATACGGGCTCACCTCAGGGCTGTGTCTTATCGCCTTTACTTTATATTTTATATACTGATGACTTCCGTAGCATGCACGAGAATAGTTTCATTATAAAGTTTGCAGACGACTCGGTTCTACTTACCCTTTTAACAGATGGAGCCAACAGTCATGGCCCTGTTCTGGATAGTTTTATTAAATTCTGTAATGACGCCCATTTAAAGTTGAACGCTTCAAAAACAAAGGAATTGATAATAGATTTCCGGAAGAAAAGACACAGCCCTGAGGTCACTATTTTAAATGACGAACCAGTTGAGATTGTTACGTCTTAGAAGTACCTTGGGACTATATTTGAGGACAATCTCAGCTGGGGATTGAATACTGAAGCTATAATTAAAAAAGGAAATCAACGTTTGTACATCCTTAGGAAACTAAATGATTTTAAAGTAAATAACTCTATTCTTAAAGTGTTTTATAGTTCATTTATCGAAAGCGTTTTAACTTTTTCATTTATATGTTGGTTTAATAATCTTGCCCTTAAGGAGAGGTCTGCCATACAAAATATAGTAAATGTATGTTCAAAAATTACAGGCAGTCCATTGCGGAGTATCTCGTCATTTTGTGACAAACAGATACTAGCTAAATGCAAATATATTTTAAAAGAACCAGAAAATATACTTTTTGATGAATTTGTACTTTTACCACATGGTACACGATATCGTAGCCCACTTTGTAAGACAAAACGTAAACTTAATTCTTTCATTACTATAGGCATAAGGCTTTTAAATAATCACAAATCATAGTATTTAAAATAACATAAAAAGGGTGATGACAATATATGTATAATAATAATAATAATAATAAAATAATACTATATAACGATAGCTTTTTACATATATTTTTATAGTTATGATTCTGGTTGGTCTCTTTTGTATGTTTTTTGGTGATTTATATTTATACACTTACTATTTATTTAGTTTTTTATATATATTATTGTTGTTCGATGTTTATAAATGATTTTAACTTATTGAGTATTTCAGTCCTGTTTTAAAATTGCCCCATGAGGGATAAATAAAGAATTATTGAATTGAATTATTGAATTGAATTGAATTGAATATATAAACAAAAATGAAATACAAAAAAATAAAAGGGAACAATTTATTGATAGCCTTATTAAGTGACGTGTCAGAAACATGTATTGTGTCAAGATTTCTTTTCTAATAAAATAGTCCTAGCCATAGGCGTAGATCCCGGGGGATGGGGGATATATCCCCCCAATATTTGACAAGGGGGGGATGGTCCATTGTATCATCCCCCCCAAATTTTTTGACTATGTATGGGATAAAATGGAGCTTTACACAATTCAAAAGACTGTCACAGAAATAATTTGCACTGTCTTATGCGCTTACAAAGATGAAAATTAGCATAATGTATTAATGTTGATAACAAAATTATTTTATCTGGTACCAATCTAAGCTCTTCTTTCCTTAGATGTTAGATGTGCTTGCAAATAGAGGCACATTTTACACTGAAGGGTGTGTACGACATCAGTAATGTTATGTCAATTCCAAGAATGTTTAAGGTTATATCAGTTGATTAGGAATTTATTGATTAGGCCTATAATAGCAAATTGCATCAATTTATTTTGCAAAAACAAAGTTTCTAGCTTCAGAGGGGGGCACATCTCCTGTCCGCACAAGGGCACACATTGGCGCTAACACCAGGCTGTTAAACAGGGGGTTTAACACCCCTGTTAAACAGGGGTCTTAGGTCAGAGTGAGTATTTATTTTTTTAATTTTTTATTTCAACCATCTTTAAAGAGGGTAACCCTTCTAGTTTAGCCCAGTAGGTTAACTGATATTCAGTAATATCGGCCGCACAAGTGTGTTTGAAACTAAATATAAGCATTTTCATCATGGTTTTATTTATTACAAACATATTCTTTCACCATCTATACACATTGAGGCCCTTCTTTTAGGTTAAAATGATCTATCTTAAATTTGTCTTTCTTGAGTTTGGGACTATATGTGTTTAAATAACTTAAAAGGATAAAACTAAAAATGCCCTAAAAAATGCGCGCCAAGCGCGCAAAATATTTTTGTGATTTTAATTCTAATTTCGTCGGAATTGATGAAAACTCCCTAAAATGTGCAATTTATAGAGGAAATTGGCCTACCGTAACAAGAAATGCGCGAAAAGAATTTGAGAATTTTAGGCACTTTCAGAGGATGCATTTGTCAAGGGGTGGAGAAAGATTTTCCGTGGTTACGCCATCGGGCAGCATAGATCAAAGAAGTTATGACAGTTTTTGAAGTGGAGAAGGGGTTGCAGGGTGTTCTGAGTCTGGTCATTATGATATCTTCCTTTTTATTCTTGTCTTTATTTTTCTCTTCTCTTTTTCTTTCTTTTCCCTCTTCTTTCTCTTTCCCTCCCTCTCCCCTCGTTCTTTTCTCTTATTACCCAGCCCGGTACGACGGCGTGGTCAGCCTGGTAAAAACCGTCAGGGGAGGGACAGTTTTCCCCCTTCTCCCGCGCCTGTTACGACATGGCTAACACGCCAATCATCCCCCCCAATGAAAAATATTTTTCTATGCCACTGGTCCTAGCCTAAATGGTCTAATTGAAATCATTTGTTTTTCTTACTTACATGTATTAATGGCAAGAAGAAAAAATAGAAGATAATTTATTTTGTGTGTATGTACAGTATAGTAAACGTTGTTGATAAAAAATAATACAATAGGCGGTTGACGTTCAAGTGTAGCCTATTTGTAATGCATCAACAATGCGTAAGTATATTATGTATCTATGGAAAATTATTTTAGAATTGCTGGTGCTAGAGTGTTGAATAATATACCTGCCTTTTTTCAACAACCAACATTAATATAAATACTTTAAATTCAATTATAATAAATTCTATTTTACCAACTTTCATCTAAGATTTTTATATGATTTGATTTTAAATGTGTCACACTTTAATTGTTATTCGCTTTGGTCCTTATTCATTTTCTTTTGTAATGTTGTGATATACAAATTGAATCGAAAAGAGTATTTTGTATTAATTGCAAACTTGATTTTCGAATTTTGAGATACTTGATTTGTTTGCTAATTTTTATAGGGTTTGTAAAAATAATACTTTATATTACACTTGCTAAATATGGGTTGTTCTTACCCCAAGTTTCATGGCGATCATCATAATATGTACATGTTATCACCATTTGTAATATCTTACCGGCTTACAATACTGTAAATGTTCACTAAATAATAATTTCATTTTATTTATTTATTTTTTAAAATTTTATTTTTATATTTTTTAATTTTTTTTATGAAGTGGATCTATTAGTATTACTATTGTTACTCCATTATTAGTTACTTTCAAGGTATAAAATAATAAGCAATAACAAATTACTGATAGTCCATACAAACTATGAGATGAAAATGACGTGCATTATGTTTTTTTTTTTATTTTATTAAAAAAAAATTAAAATTAAAAAAGAAAAATTCATAATAACTCAACGTGTTATGAGTAAACATATATCGCATTAGTGTACAATGATGAAAAGTAATATATTTTTATATAAAAATGAAAAAGGGAGGAAAAAAGGTATATACTGGTCAAATAAAATCTATATTAATAATGGTTACAATTGGTTAATGCCTAAACTTTGAAATCATGTTAATATCATAGAATTATGCTTAAATTTATTTTTTAAATTTTCATTTAACATTCATTGATCGACTTAATTTGCATATTTTATTGTTTATTTAAGAATCGAGAGAAGTTTAAAAAATAAGAAAATCAAGAAAAAAGGTGAAATATAAAAAATGCTGTATGCAGAATGTCTGTAATTCAAACAACTTGATGTATTGATGAATAAAAGTGGTGGTTGTTATACCACAAGAGAGAGAAAAAAAAAATCTTACCGTCCTCGTTGGTTTGTATGGTTTGTTTATCTGAAGGCGGTCCAACTACATCTTCAGACGAGGGCTGGACCATGATTTCATATTTAGAGTACGCAGTTAGATCCGAAATAGTGTATGAAGTGATTTGAATAGGACCCTCTTTAATGACCCCATCGTTTGTTTCATCACACATATCGTATATGATTGGTTTATAAGTGACGTTGTAGGTAACAGGACAGTTTCCATTTTCAGTCTCTTCCCATGTTAGGGAAATTTCAGTTACTCCAATCATAACAATGCTCACAGATGCGATCTTCTTTGGTTCTTTAAAAACATATAAGAAGAAAAATATTCAATTGTACATGACCTCAAACATTATATACATGGTTTGTGTCCTGCCCTTAAAATCATACATGGATGTACCCCTAAGCTTATTTTTAAAATTATCATCTATCACACCTTCATTTAATATCATCATTTTCGTTATCATCACTATAACATTAGAATTAATAATAATAATAATAATAACAAATACTTATATAGCGCCAATTCAAAAATTTATCAAAGGCGCTAAATTATAATATTAAAAATCACGTTTCTACGTGTGCCCACTATCTCCCATATAATCATTGCATCATATTAAGCTTGTTTTAGTAACAATGAGAAATAAGTCTAACAATATAAAATAATTATAATATTAAACACACACTGCAATATCATTTTCCAAAAAGTCAAATTTGCTTACCAGTCGGTGTTGTCCGTGTTGTTACATACTCACTCCATGGTCCACATAAGCCAGCATCGTTCACAATTCGAACCCTGCATCTGTATTCTTTACATGCAACTAGATCCACGATCGTGTAATACGTCATACTGCTATCAGTAGTATACATCGTCCAATTAGAATCATCGTTTGATTGGCACTGTAACTCATACCTTAGAATGTTGTTGCATTGTAGTTTCTGGGGGTCATCATTCTCTCCCTTCATAATATGCATAAGGTGTACTTTTTAGTATTTATGCTTATTAATTTTATTAGCTATTACAATTATTTTTATTATTTTTGTATTATTATTATTATTATTATTATTTATTATTATTAATCAATCAATCAATCAATTAATTAATCATTATTGTTTGTTAATTATCACTGTTATTGCCAAGTATTGGCGAATTAATGTTTGCATTACAAAATATAAATATTATTGATATTAAAGAAGTGAAAGAAAAAACGAGTTTCCCAAATGGGATTTAAACCTGGGACCTTATGCTGTCTACGCAGGTTGTCCCGGTTCCTGGTCTGCAGGTTGGGGCACCTGTATTTTCACACTCACAGATTACGTTCAAAATGTATACATATTACAAGACGGTTTAAGTTTATAAGACATGCTCCTTGCTTGATCCTACACAATCATTCAAGAGCAACCAAACAAATCACATATTTTGGATAAGGCAAAAAGGTAATTTTATCTCATATATTGTAATAATATTTGCGGTCTGGATCAGGATCGGTAATTGACAAGTCTCCAAGGAGGCATCACGTTAATAGGGTTTGGTTTAATTTTGGTCACTGGATACCATAGAATCTGTCTCTGATATTATTATGTATATTTTACTCTAGTTGCCATGATGTTGCTACTCCTGTGTCTTCTGTGATTATTAGTGATCTTGTGCAAGATTTTCGTCTCTTACTGTTTTTTGTAACAGTTTCTGTTCACCTGTTCGCTAAAACTAGCCTCACGTTGTTGTACGGTTTCACTGACCTCTGAATCAAGAGCATCCGCTTGATTCAGGCTGCTACAGTTTATACACGTGTACTCGTTACCAGCCTAAGATGTCCTGTCGTACCTCATTAAGACAACGGTTATTTGTTTTCTACCTATTAGCAATTCTTAAATTAAGCAATCAAACTTCGATCAAAGAACTGAAACCTACAGTACACTTAACAAGTGTCAAAGTCAAACTGTTTATCTACTTAATCTGCTATTAAGGACTAACTATTGCTTACTGTAGCTCCACTATGGCTCCACACAGTAGGCCCTATTGATATATTAATTAATTACTTACATCCTGTCACTGCTTGGTATTTTTGTTTTTAGTTTTTTCAATTTACTTGATCTTGAGAATGGTTCCATGAAGGACCCGAAACTTCGATCTTTCTTGTCATTAAATTTTGTTTTGAAATTATATAGTAAGCGTCTCTTAATTCGTAATTATTATTATGTTACTAAAAACGACATTAAGGTATTCAACTTGGAGTTGGAACATGGAATGTGAGAAAACATCTAATAAGAGGTGGAGGTGACACTTGGTATTCTTGGATTATGCAAATATGGTTTAAGGTGTTGGAGATTACATAGATGAAGGAATTAGAATTATATTCATGAGGTGTATCAAGAGAAAGAGGTGTAGCAATAGTCTTAAATGAAGAAACTGCTAAATGTGTAACAGATAGGTTGATGTTAGTGAGTTTATGAGGAGTTCCTGTGTATATAAAAATTATACAAGTACGCTATATATGTTAACAAGTTCACATGATGATGACATACAGTAGAAGAGATTATATAAGAAAATGGCAAAAGCTATTTAATAGTGATAGGTGACATCATAATGTGGGCAAAGGCAAAGATTATAAAGAAGTGGGAAGTTTTGAGCTTAGAGTAAGAAATGAAAGATGACAAAAACACACTACAAAAGAAGAAGATATACTTGGAAGAAATTTGGGGACACCTGGAGATTCCAAATAGATTATTATAGTTAGACACAGATACAGAAATAGTGTACATAACTCGCGAGCATATTCAGGGGCTGATATTGATGTGGTCCATAGTCTAGTGAAAATAAAAAACTTAAACTTAAAAAGTCAAAAGAGGAAAAGATGGAATATTAAAGCATTATAAGATCCCAAAACATCATTCTCAGAAAAAGTAAACGAGTTTTGAAATTAAAAATATCCACCTTTTCAACCGATTTATTGGTATTAAAGATTTTATTGGCACTCATTTATATATATATATATAAATCATCAAAGAAAGGTAAATACAGTGTTCGAATAAAGGACATAATAATACATCGTGTAGCATAGCTCTCAACGAATGTAGTCCTGTAAATAAATGAAATAAAGAAATTGTGTAATAAAATGCCTCTGGCGGGACTCGAACCTGCGACCTCTCGCTGTCAAGGCGAGCGTCATAACCATTAGACCACGGAGGCTTCATGGTTGAACAGATTCAAATACCACCAGATACACTCTATTACACAATAGGTACGGCTAGAAACAAATAGTTGTATATAATATAAATCTCTATTTATATTATATATATATATATATATGTATATATGTATATGTATATGTATATATGTATATGCATATATATATGTATATAATAATGCCAATTGGAGCGACAAAAATCGCAAAGATAAAGAGAATCACTGGGAACTTTTACTTAAAACCACCACACCATTTGGACTCAATATTAGGAACGTTCTCCCAGTACACTAAATTAAACCTATGGCATTCCAAATTATTCTGGAAAAATCATTTGGCTTATTCATTGAGGCATGCCTCTAAAGCTTATTTTTGGCCTTCCTGTTTACTTGTTTAGGCTGTTTATTCTAATCCCACCTAGCCTATTGTTTCTTTATACTATCTAGCTTTTTCAACCCTCACTCACTCGCCACTGAGGAAGGACTAGTGTTGTCCGAAAGCTCTGGTTCTATTTCTGGCTGTTTACTTACGTTTACTTTTTAGCTGTTGCTTATCATTTTTGTATCTCTACCGAGATCCAGCCATTGTTTCCCACAGCATTGTTGTTTTTCAGTATTTTGCCTTTTAATCTATATATGTATATATGTATATATGTATGTATGTATGTATGTATGTATGTATGTATGTAATGTATGTATGTGTGTGTGTATGTAATGTATGTATGTATGTACGCGCATTCCTATACATGTGAGGACAAATTTCTATATTTTCCTATACATCTGAGGACAAAAAAAAAATGTGAGTACAAATTTCGTGTCCTCACATTTTCTAGGCCTACAAAACCCCATTTTGGT